CCGGCGTAGTTCTTCAGCCAGCCGCTGGCCACCGCAGTGTCATCAACGCATGTCGGGTCCAGTCTCCTGCAACCGGTTCCTTCGCATGTCAGAGGTGGACGAGTCACCTGCCTCGCTTCGTTCTTCCAGTAACCCAGGCCGCGGGAGTGACATCAGCGAGCATTCTCAACCGCGATCCTGTATACCGCCGGCGCTTTCCCCTCTACCAACCCAGGGCCTGTCAGACGCCACAATTCACTCCCCAAGGGAACCTTCGGCCACTCAGGCGCCATCAATGCGCGCTCTCATCAACCGTTGGCCAGTCGTCTGCCGGCGTACATCTGTCTACGTGCACGTAGACCGCCGAGCTGCCCCAAATCGGGCGTCACCCTGCCGCGTAGCCTCGAGTGTCTTCCTCACTGGCGCCTGATCAGCTTAACCGTAACGCCTTCGCGAAACCATGGCAGTGCCAGCAGGCCCACGGTTGTCACCGGTGAACCCGTAAGTGCCCGACATACGGTTAAGAGAAACAGAGCGAACCGGGTTGTCTGTCGCATGACTACGGGGTAGACCCACAATATCATCCGGGCCCCAGTGGGCTGGTTGCGACCCGGGGGCTGAACGGGGCGCCTCCAAGGCTGAACGGGACACCCCTGAGCTAACGTGTGCGCCGTGTTATGAGTCTTCACGACGGCTACCAGCATGTGAGGGAGATCCCGCTGCCCCTCCCACCAAGGACCAGCAATGCCCGTTCGTCTGGTCACGACCCGTGAAAGGCTCCTCTGAAGCTCCTGTCATTGTCCGTGAGTACGACGTGCGGAATCATGATAGGCACCGCCCAGCCCCTGTACCTCGGCGGTCTGTTGTTCGGCCAACAGGCTCGTGACCCGCGGCTCCAGGTACCGTGTGGCAGGTCAACGATCAACTTCTTCCTCCCAATGTGATATCCAGTAACACCAAATCCAACGCAACCGCCGCGTCGAGGTTGCCTCCGGGCACCGAATGCGTTAGCGGCGACCTGCGGCGTGCGTTCTCACAGGAGACAATCCCGCACCGTCCGAGCTACGTCCCTGGCTAACCCGGGCCGGTAGACCGCTTGCTCCTGCCACCGCCCTCTTCGAGATCCCGAAAGCGTCGGCCTGCCTCGGTCCCCAACATAACACAGTGCCTTTCTTCAGTCAGTCAAACAGAGGCGCAGTCCACTTAGCGAACGTGGGGATGAAGGGTCTGAGGTACCACCCCGAGGAAGCTCTACAAACCGCGCTTACAGGTGGGGGCTTCCAGATTCCCACATTGTCAACCGTCTTCTGCTGACACGTCTCCGCGCTCGACCGCCAAGATGAACGCCCTAGACCCAACTCTTCCAGGCGCAAAGCGGTGGCCATCTCACCCGTCCCCAAGAGGTTGGGGACCTGGGGTTGATCGTGCACGACGAAGCGCACCGCCTTTCGCTGACCATTAATCACGACCTCGTCCGGCTCCGTGACGAGCAGGTGACCAGTAACAATCACCGTGACTATCTCCTCAGTCGCCGGCGACAACGCAACCCCCACCCGCCCGCAGTCTTCCCTCTTCAACAAGCTGAGTCCCCGCAGCCGTGTCCTCACAGGATGCTAGTTCGGCCCCCGTCACGAGGGCCTTCAGTAAAAAATCCGACTCCATACCCTCCGCCAGCGTGTTCGTCGACGGCCCAGCATCCTCATCTGCGTGCGGGTCTCGCAACCGGCGCAGGCGCCCTCGCTTGCTGTGGGTCTTCTTGCATCACGTCATCGACCCCGCCTCTCTCTACAACGCTCGTCCGCCTCCATCTCTTCATTGATGAACTTCTGGGCTGCACGTAGGTAGTCGCGCCTGGACCGGTCTCCTCTCATCTGACTCAGCTCTACGAACACCCTCATCGCACCGTCCTGACCCGTCAGGTAGATTCTGTCGCGCATCACCCGCCAGTGACCCTTCCGACCGCAAGTCCAACACTTGTCGTCTTGACTCGGACAAGCCTTCTTCTGGTGGCCACTACGACCCCCATACCTCTTCGGGCCATCGGCATTCCTGGCAGAGCGACCCCGGATCCGCGTCTGACCTCTCCACGGGCCACCCCATAGCCACCAACACGGGAGGGCTCCTCGCTCGCTCAGGGGTGGCATGACGACGGACTTCACAATGCGACCCAGCAGGGTACTGTCAGGGTAGAGGATCTTCGCCACCTCGGACATGAACGTCTGCACTCTCACCCCTTCGTCTCTGCTAACGAAGTTCAAGCGCGAACTGACCTCGACTGGGAACAAGGACCAGATGCGCGTCACCAGTGTCTCGTCGTGTATATGGCAACTCACTTCGTTCAACGACGCCGTCTTGCGTTCCTTACAGTACATCTTGTCCACGGAGGGCGGGAAGCGCGGTACATAACGATACCCGACTTGCAGGTCCACCAATCCAGCAACTGTCGTCGCTGTCGCTATACAGTCCTCCTTGTCAAAAACATTACCTCCTATGAGACCTTCAGAGACGCGATCCATCACCTGCTGAAACAGGATAGGTGAGTTCTTAACACCAAACGGAATCACAGTGCATTCGAATGTGCCCCTATGCGGCACAAACACAGTGAACTGTCGACTTCCCGCCCCCAGGGTTACATTCCAAAAGCAGTCTAGGCACACGTAATACTTGCCGCCACCAGCTGTAGTTGCCCCGCACAAACACTAGCCTCGCTCCCCATGACGTATTACTAGGTTGTATTACGCCCATGCTCAACATGTCGTCTATCCTTTTATCTAGTTCCTCTCGCAATTCTGGTCCCAGCGGCCTAAACGTGTGCTTCACCGGCTTACCATGTGCTTCGAACTGTATCCACCCGACGGTCTTTGATAGCCAACGCCGCCTTGAATAACGACACTTGCTCCTAGTAGCCAACGTCGGCTTGAATAACGTAGTTGTGCCCGTGTCTAAAAGCGCTTCCACCACCACTTCGTCCAGCATCGCTCCCTTCGTGACTCTCGCAGCTTCTAACGTGTCTGCAAACTTGGCCACCCGGGTAGCTTCCCTCATTCTCCATCTTCCACGTCGACTGTGCACCTCTTCTCGTCCAGCTGATTAATCTTCGTGGCCGCTTCTGAACACGTGTCGTAAAGGACCTTCCTTGAGTTCAGCCTTGGTGTGCTAAGAATCAGCTGGTTGCTCTTCTCGTGCATCTCGATTCCCAGCCTGCCATACCCGCCGTCAAACACCCGAACCCGACAATCCTTTGCCTCGTGACCCCTCTTGGGACAGATG